CTCAGGAGATTTTGTCTTTTTTACCTTCCTATGTAGACCCATTTATGTCTTTCTTAGGGTCCTCTTTGTTGTCTAGTTTCTCTGGGGTTGTGGCTTGCAGGCTAATTTTTTTGGGAGGGGAGCTTTATTTCTAAATGACGCTTATGAAAGAATACATATTATATTTGTCTTCCTGTGTCTGTGTTACCTCACTCAGTATGTTTTTTCCTAGATCCAACCATTTGTCTTCAAATTTCAAGATATCATTAATCTTTACCACTGTGTAGTACTCCATTGTGTAAATGTACCACAGTTTCATTATCCGTTCTCCAGTTTTAGAGGCATTCAGGTTTTTTTCCAGGTTCTTGTTATTACAAATAATTCTGCTATCAACATTTCTTTTTATGAAGAGAAAAAGTTAATATATTTTTGCATTATCTATGCTATTCTATTATACAGATGGGTGTTATCACTTTCTATTATTTTCTTAGTCTTTATAGTTAGATTCTTAGGTTAGAAGCAATGAGAGTTACAGTGACTGTCCATCCAAATTGTTATCTTTTATTTCCACATCTTGATTTTTTTCTTTTATATTTCTTTTATTTATTTTTAATTGTTTTATTGAGCTATATATTTTTCTCTGCTCCCCTTCCCTTTCTATCCCCTCCCCTTCTACCCTCTCCTGTGATCCCCATGCTCCCAATTTACTCAGGAGAGCTTGTCTTTTTCTACTTCCCATGTAGATTAGATGCATGTATGTCTGTCTTAGGGTATTCTTTGTTTTCTAGGTTCTCTGGGATTGTGAATTATAGACTGATTTTTCTTTGCTTTATGCCTAAAAATCACTTATGAGTGAGTGCATATGATATTTATCTTTCTGGATCTGAGCTACCTCATTCAATATGTACCTACTTTGTCCTTTTAACCTTAAGCCTTATCTTGGTCATAGGTTCTATTAAGTTAGAATCTATTTGTTCGATTCTTTCTTTCTTTCTTTCTTTGTTTTTTAAAACAATCTTTTCTCTTTTTACATACCAATCCCTGTTCCCACTCCCTCTACTCCTCCCGTTCCCCTCACCTTCCCCCCACTCCACCCTCAAGAAATTTTTTAGCTTGAAAAATATTTTAAGAATTTAAAAATACTAAAATTGCTGAAATCGCAGAGCCATTGCAGAAATTACTCCTTCATCAGTGTTCAAGCTGTTTGGCTGATAGGTAAAGCAAAACTATCAGGACTTTGGCCATATTCAGATTGTGATGTTGTTAACAAGAGACTATATTAGGCTATTGTTTAAAAATATACTCACCTAAATTGAAGCCTGTTCAACTTCTTATTTGGCACTAGATTCCAAGATTGGCTTCTATATAATCTTATTCACTATAATTACTGAAGTGCTGAGCCATGCTGAACAGGCTTCTTTTATTTATCTTCTAGAGAGTATTGGGTAACTGGCTCAGTCAGATCAGTAAATAAATAAATCAAACACTTGATTCATAGTTTTCTAAATGAATGCAACAAGCAAACTCTTGCTCAAACCGTGCTATCAATTTTTCCTTAGTCTCATTCATTCATGTCTTTACTTAAAGCATACAGCTCAGGCAGCTACAATTTCCTGCTTTTCATAAAAAATACTATGTTGCATAAGACTTGCTAAGAAAGAAATTAAAAGCAGATTAATGCATGTGTCAATAGTGCAAAATGGGTACAGATATTTTATTGAATTATTTCCTTCTTAATTGTCACAGAAATCTGTGTACTGACAGCATCCCTGGGTGTCATACTGAGGCCCCCATACATTCATGGGATTCTAGAAAAGGATTTAAGAAAAAGACCTAGGTTTCCAACATGGGATGCTCCTAAAGATTCCTTGCTAGGAATAGTGGTCATGATTCTGCTTCATCATTAGGCCAGCCATGACCTGATAGGAGAAACTTGTATTCCATCATTTCTCCTGATGACTAAAGTCCACACTAATCCCATCCCTCTACCTCCCCCGAAGAGGCTGCCTACCCCACTTCTCTGTGTGTTTTTATGGATCGTGTGTGCACATTTTTACATTAACTGACTCTATTGCATATAATTGTGTTAGAGGCTGACTAAAACATAAAGTCGAATCAATTAAGAATGTATAATGTCCTACTGTAGGGAATAGCAGCTTCTAAGAATTAATGTCTTTAGATTATCATAAATAAAGCATGGAGAAGGATATTTGTGCATAGATCTTTGACTGCATCTCTAATTTTTCTCTAGGATAAAACTTGTGGAAATATTTCTATCAGATCAAGAGGTAATGAATCCATACTTACATAATTTTAATTTCTCTTCTCCCAAGAAGTTAAACACTGCATACTGCTATTGCCTTATGCATTACCCCTATAAAATAGCTATTTACATCCTCTGACTATTTTTTGGATGTCTTCAGTTTTTACCATCTCATTAAATTGCATGTCTTACTTGTAATTTTAAAAGTGGTTCAGAGAAAGGCGGCTAACAAATGTGTCATCAGCATCATTTACTTATTTCTGTAAATTTTCCCATTGAAACCCTTCTTAAAACATCTAAAATTTTCCATTGGCACTGAGTAGAGAATCAGGCAAGACTCCTCAGCACCAAAAGGCAGTGCTGGGCTGCCATCTAGTATTTATGTGTGGAACTGCCCACAATATGCATTGAAAGCTTGTTCATATTTATGACATATGGAATTCTGTAAACATAAGAATGTCGCCTTATGTACCAAAGCATTGACATAAGCTTGAGGCTAATGTCAATGAATGCAAGAACCAGGGTTCCCACCTACTCACAACAAGGAATGCTGCATATGTCCTCCACAATTAATACTTGTTCACCTTGACTGAACACAAAGAATACTACACTGGATACCAAGAAAGGCAGGGTCCTTCTGAACTTACTGATAATGAATGCACCAACCTTCGTGTGCCCAGGACTCAGTTCCTATACTCTAACAAAGGGGCACTGTCCGGTCAATCATGCCCCCAAGGGTGCATGGCAATGTACTCTATTTTTCCCTGGGACTACCACAATCATGTCAGTTTGGTGGTTTTCCCTCCTACCACTGTGTCTTCCTGTCTCTTCTGCTCTCCCCTCCACACGTGGAGATGACAATCCTGGCTTAGATGGCTTGGTCACTAACCCTCAAAACTCTGGTTCAGTGGAGAACTTCAGTAGAAGGAGGGATGCAGAGTGATGGTAATTAATGACAGTGATAATGGCCAAAGTCCCATCATCACACAGCATCTGGTGACTATAAGGACAGGAACTATTTCCAATGCTTCCCCATATTTCCAATGTCTCCCAGGGCCTTCTTTCTCTACCTATGCCTCTTCGTTCTTCTTTGGGGAATAAATAAGCCCCAGAGTTCAGATTGTCATAGCTCATCTCTCCCCATATGTCACCCCCAAATAGAATTACATATTTACACATTTAAAACTCTTAGGGTTTGATTTAAAAAGCTTAAACTTCAGGACAGAATCCCTATTAACATGTGTTCACTCCTGTTGGAGTTTTTGACAGAATTTCCCTTCCCTAACACAATTCTGCATGATGTACAAATATACAAATATCCCCCACTTCCTGTTTAGGTGTTGATCCTACTTGCTCTTTCCTTCCTATCAGCAGCAGCTCATTGAGGAGTGATAAGATTATTTCAGTCCTGTTTCTTTGGTTCCTTCTTCTCTAAGTCTAGATCTCCCCTACTGTGCAGTACCAGCATCATTTTTCACATATGCCCTGACAGGACCACGGGTTAGTAAGCTGGATGCGGCTCCACCTTTATGTGTCTAACAAATTAGGCCTCTTGAGCATGAGCCTCCCTGGTGAAATCCTGACTTCTAATTGGGTGCTCTAGACCCCTCAGTGAGATCCAGATCTTCCTCTTTACCTTCTCTTTCAAGCTTCCTTCCTACCCTGCCCTACCAGGATGCCTGTGTTCTGGCCATCATTTTATCCCTGGATCCTCAGACCATGTTTTATAAAGCTTTGCCATTCCTACTGGCATAGGTAAGAAGGCTCTCATGCCACCTGAGGTTTTTAATTTAATTTTTTTTAAAAAATATATTAATCTTATTAACTTTGAACCTGGAGCCCAATTTACAAGTTCACCAATGCCCACTGAAATGAGCTAGATTTTTTGCGGGGGGCGGGGGGTTGGTGTTCCAAAACAGGGTTTCTCTGTGTAGCCTTGGCTGTCTTGAAACTGACTCAGTAGACCAGGCTAGCATTGAACTCAGAGGTCTGTCTGTCTCTACCTTCTGAGTGCTGGGCTTGTACCATCGCCACCCGCCTTGAGCTGGGGTTTTTTCTTTTTCTTTCTTTTTTTTTGCTATGTTATTAACTTCGGGATCACGTGCCGTAGAGTCCTCCTGAGACTGCCCACTAGATGTATCAGTTGTGTCTCCTGCAGAGGCCGTACCAGTTACTTTAGATTCTGATGCAGCACTCATTATTCTTATTCTCACTGCAAACTTTAGGGCTCATCTCATACATTAAATCAAAATCTAAAACTTAACAAGATGCTGGAAAATTCACATTTGCATTAAAGTTGGAAAATACCGAACACATATCTGCCCCACCTTCCCTGGCTTTCTCTACCATTGTACCTATTAATCCCCTTACATGCAATTCACTATCTAAATTGGTCTTGCTTGTTTTGCTTTGCTCCTCCATCACATTGAGCTTTGGGATAGCCAAGATCTTGGCATACCTTGCCGTGTTTCTTAGTAAGCACCCAATCACTCAGTTGTTGTTGCTTATTATTTCAGTAAGTGGCTGCTTCCTGTAATAGTCCTAAATTCATTTCCTCTTGCTCCTTTTTAGGTGCACCACGGCCTACAATCCATCTTGTTTCCTCTCCTTTTCAGGTCTTATCAGTTCATCAAATCACAACATTTTAAATCAACAACCTTCCCTCAGTATTTCAACCACACTGCATCTCCGCCCTCCTAGAACCTCTAGGATCCATCCCGACACCTAATTACACTGTCACCTCAGAGATTCCTCCAATCAGGGAAAAGCATGATGCGGTCTCCCAGTACCACAAATTATTCTGTTGGGTTTCCCACACTTGGGGAAACCACAGAAGTTGGCACCTACAGGGTGAGATGGATAAGTCTCACCCTGGGAAAACTGCTTTATGATCATGGTATCTCTCCTGCCTGGTAAGGTTATTTTGTTTGGTTGGTTTTTTTAGACATGGTTTTCTTGTGTAGCCCTGGATGTCCTGGAAGTAGTTCTGTAGACCAGGCTGGCCTTGAACTCAGAGATCCACCTGCCCCTGCCTATTGAGTGCTGGTATTAAAGGTGTGCGTCATAATGTCTGGCAACCTGAAAGATTTCTTGCTTGAGTATCTTGTCCTTGTCTCTCCAGCCAAAATATGAAGTTCAGGAAGGCAGAAGCTGCATAATTTTTCTATTTCCCAGTGTTTAGGCTGTTTGGTACTTGTATTCATTCTTTATAAAAAAGAAACAAGCTGGCCCCAAAAAAATGAGAGGAAAAGACTAGAAATTTGAAGTTCTAGCATTTTTGCAAACCCATTTTTTTTGAGAATCCTTTCAAAAGAAAGGGTCTCATAGTAAATCACTGTGTGCTTTCCTGTTCTATTGTATATTCATAATACCTATTTTTTTTATTTGTGTGTCTCTGTGTGTGTGTGTGTTCTTGTTTGCACACACGTGTACCAATGCCCATGGAGGAACTCCTGGGGTTACAGTCACAGGAGTCACTAGATGTAAGTGTTGGGAACCAAATCCAGATCCTCTACAAGAGCAACAAGTGTTCTTAACCACTGAGCAATCTCTCCAGACCCCTATATTTAATTTCTATAAGTTAATCACATCAAATTTCACATTACATTTTCCATGTTAATGTTATTTTATGGTCTCATCAAGATTACTTTGAAATAATCTCTTATCACAGAATGAATTCTGCATCTCAATGTGATATTTGTGGATTCCACAAAATATTCCTATAATCCCTGCATGTTGCAAGCCTACATAAAACTTCCATTAGAAAAAAACAAGCATGAGGTAATGAACGGTTAAAAGTTATAACTAGCTATAAATAACTTTAATTTGTTATCATTTTCCTACTTTTGAATTAACATAGAACTGATTTTTAACAAAGGTGTGATAAGCCGTCTCTATTGTATGGAGCCCTGATTTAATTTTTCATGATGTCAGTTAGGACTGGAAATGCTAGGCATGAATGTCTCCATCCCTGACCATGCTCATAATCACTGCTTGCTGCATACATACCAAGAGGGCTGCTTAATCAGTTCATCCATCTTGATAAAATGCTTGGAAACACCCTGAAGAATTACACAAAGCAATAGGCACAGATACAGGGCCAGTTTAGAAACCTTCTAGTCCTTAGATTAAACACTCCCTTGTGCCAGTTATCCAACTCTATTATGGATTCCCACCTTCTTTCCTGTCTTCAGGGTGACATTCAGAATGAAATATCCACAGATTTACACAGGATCAAGTAGAGAAAACCTTTGCATTTATAAACTGGAAAAAAAGAGTTGCCATGAATTCTTAGTAAAAATTTTTCTAAAACCGAGATACGAGGTTGAGGTTGGAATCCTCAACCACTCACGGGTGACAGGCGACAGAGGCAGAGAACAAAGGAAACCAGCACAGTCACATGATCCTTGTTTCTAAGGGGTGTGATTTCAAGCTCAGGTGAGAGCAGCGCACACTTTATTAGGCACAACCCTGCAAAGGGAAGAAAGATGAATGTGGACTCTTTTGTCTGGACTTTAAACCTCAATGAAACTCATCAAGGAAAGTTGAGTCAGCCACCCAAAGACTCCGATGTCTTCCTTTCTGATTCTCCAGACTGAAATAGGATTTTGTAACGTTCTCATCAATCATACACCTAATTATAGCATTGCTATAATTATGAACTGGCAACGCTGGTTCAAGTTGCTTTAAGTCTTGGTTGACTATGGGTGCTTCTATATTTCACTATTATCCATTTATTAACCAATGTTTATTATTAAAATCTCAGAGACATGCTAACTTCTCAGGGTCACGGTCTCTATGACTTCCAAAGAGGCTGTAAAATGACCTCCCCGCAAAGCCATGGCCACCCTATCCTCAGTAGTCGAGTGATCACTCACTACCTTGTCAAGACAAGCAAGTCATGTGATCTGGCTTAAGGTCATTTTCCACATGTACATGTATTTCTCTTGTCCCTGTGGTACTCTGAATGATCTAAAAAGATCTTAATTATTCAAATCCCCTTACTCTTTGGCCTCATATCCTCTCCTCTGGATTTTTCTGCATACCGTGGGTCCTACAGGGGATCCTTAGGCCAGAGGTCCCGAACCAGCACCGGGTATCTGTGAAGGATGGGGTGGTGGTGCTTATCTGTAACCCTAGCACTTGGGAGGTGGAGGCAGATTCAGTCCAGGAGTCAGCAGCCCTTCCTTCAGCTCCAGCTAGCTCAGAGGAATAGCGGGGAGGAAATAGGCAAAAACTTGACTCATCTCCCAAGGCTCTGGAGCTTCTTTTGGCTTCCAGTTCAACTGAATGCCCTGCTGCCTTCACCTTGGTGTCAGTGCGAGCTCCCTTCTACTCCTACCCTTTAAGGTCAGCACCAAGGGACAATTTCAAGGCTCTCTATGTGTGGCTCCTGACTGCAGGTCACAGTTCATGTTCTTGGTTCTAAAGCAGTGGCTATGCAGTATTATGTTAGAGACGTTGTTATTCACAACTGGTTTTGAGGTTTATTACAAATAACTTGTTACTCCATAAGAACTGAAGGCCAATGTTCATAAATTATTTTCTTGTTAACGGATTATATTGCTTTTTACAGTAACAAAGTCATTATGGTAGCTTGCATTCTGATGGACACCCTTGAACTAGAGGGGAATGGGATGGGGATTAACACATAGAAAATTAGAAATATCCTACCTATAAAATATGTGCCGCATGCTAACATCGTTTCTTATGTCTACCATGACAGAATATAAAAAGGCTGAGAGCAGTTGGTTTAAAATTATCCCTGTAAGAGCATGTAATGTTTTCCATTTAACTGGGACTAGCAATTTTAATTATATATAAATTTAGCCCCATTAAATAGAGAGAAATGCCTTGGCTTGAAGTCAAGTCAGAACACTTAGTCTCAACTCTAAGGTCGCTGAGAAAACATCCCCCTAATACTTTTCCATCTTCGTCTCCTGCTCTGGACTTCGGATTTCCTCCAGCAGCTCACAGGCTGGGCCTTTCATATTTTTACATCCAAGCCTTTGCCCATGATATGTCTTACTCACAGAATCCATTGCCCCTTTCTTCACCTCTAATTTAAACTCTTTGGAGGTGAAAGCCTCACTTTCATTTCAAATGCAAACCTTCCTCCACCACTGTGACCCACAGTGATCTTCTGTAGATGTTCTGGAATTACACTTTACCATCAAGGGCTTGGTGGGTGGTCTTAAATGGGCATCTGTCTTATTGTGCAGCCCACAGGACCTCGTAGACTAAACGTTGAGTCTGCGCGTTTCTGGTAAGTATGAAAGGTGGACCAATATAGATCTTACTAGAATCTCTTATACAGCTCTTTGGCTGACCCCAGAGGTCTCTTTCAAGTTGATGAGACAGTTCATAAATCCTAGCACTTCCTTAAAGTGAGAAACCCATGGATGTTTGGGAAGAAGACTTATTTATTAAGGGGTAAAATGAGGATCACACACTCACAAACACAGGATGAAGCTAAGGCATTGCCTCTTAGCCCAACATGGAAGGATGGGGAAAGCTCCTGACCAGGTCACAGAACCGTGGGTCAGGAACCCTTTTCCCCTACTTTCCACCCCCACCACCTCACTTCTTATTCAGTCACAAATCAGAGAAAACCATGCCCGTAGGACTAGTTACCCCAAGTGTCATTGATTGAAACAGATCAAATTCCCACAACACTTCCTGATCTAGAAATGTCAACGAGCTAAGCCTCTTAAGATGAACCTTCCATCAAGGATGGGTGACAGTTAGTAGATCATACCTCATCTCCCTCTCTTCTTAGTGGTAAAGTTTCAAGATGTATTGCACACGGTCCTTCAGAAGATCCCCACCACCGTCCAACCCTAGCTACTCACAGAAATGCCATATTTGGCTACTGTCTTCTCTTCTTCTGTAGAGTTTACAGGATAAATGTGTCTCCAAAGTTCATACACTCCAACATCTGCAGAAGATAAGGGTCACTGGATGCCAACAAGCTGCCCCTGTCACAGTTGTGTCTCCAGAATGACACTGAAATCTCCCCACATCAGAATCTGAGGCTAGGAAACAGTATACATGCACAGAGGTGAGAAGTAGACATAGGTCCTCAGACAATGTCCTCTACTTTCCCCTGAGAACCTCAAGATCAGCAAGCCAGAATAAAAGAATGGATTTTTGAAAGGTAGATTATCAGAATCCAATTCAAGAGTCATGTATGTGAATCTTTTTTATGCCCGTCACCCAAACAATCATACTGAAACTAGAAATTACCAGAATTGAATCTGATGTGGCTTAGATGGGGTAGGGGGAGGGGGTTGGATGGAATGCTTAGAAGAATCTATCTAGAATATTCTAAAATTAAAAGAATTTCAGCATTCTAAATAATACACTGGGTTATACTAGGTTGGAAATCTATAGCAATTCAACTAGATTAGAAAGCCTGGCAGACCCTAGCTAAAGACCTGTTGACTTTGGTGGTTGCTAGGGGACAGAGATTCTTTTAGAATATGGCTTCTGGTAGATAGGCCATGTTCGAGCGGATGGCTCCATATTCTCATGTATGTGGGCAGTACTAATTAGACTCAATAATCATAAAAAATAGATATGAAATTTAGAGGGAGATATGGCACTGAAGAAGTCTTGGAAGAGGAGTTGTTGGTAAATATGATCAAAATATATTGTATACATGCATGCATGCATGAAATTCTCAAAGAACAAATTATATGGATAACTGATATACATATACAAATAATGAATATTCATAACCATATACACATTCATACATAGCCTGGCAGAGACATTAAAATTTTGCCGCTTAAACAACATAGCAGCTGGGGTTGATCCTTAGTTATCCTGCTTCCTGGTATCACACTGAAATCAGCACGTATGTTAGAAATCGCTTGTCCTCATGCTGTGGAATGCCAGCCTCTTCACATGCCAGTATGGCCCGTGCTTGTCACCCCCGAGCACAAAGCCACCTGGATGACTGTTCTTTGAAAATGGTTGCAAAGAATGCAAGGAGGCAGGATGGTGGTGGAGATCTGGAAACTCTCAGGAAGGACGGTTCTGCTCACTTGTTGGTGTCAGTGTCAGAGCGTGTGGAGAGTGAAAGACTTTGTGACACTCAGTCCTAAACTGGGTGTCTTCAACAATGCAATCCCCTCAAGACCTGGAGATGTATGAGGAAAGATTGTAAGAACCACAAGAGATGGATGACTCCAAGGAGACGGTGTCTTTCAGACACAACAGTACTGATACACATGTAAACTCAAAGAGACTATGGCAGGATGGAGAGGTTCAAACCAGACCAGGTCCCAGTGTTGAAAGGGATAAATGGACATGGGTCCTACATATAACCAAGAAACTGCCTGCAATTGATATTCACTCACAGAGGAAGAATTAGCCTTCTCCAGTAGAGTCTCACTAGGTTTATCAACTATGCTGCAGGCCAGGTCCTACGGCCAAAAGTAGATGACCAACACAAAACAAACTCAATGTTATTTTTGCAGACTTTTGTCTCATCTTACTTTGTTTGACCATTGTTCCCCTATTGGTCTTTTGCTTTTTTTATTTTTATTTCCATTATTGTGTTTTTGTGAGGGTATTTCTTTCTGTGTGTTTATTGTTTTGTAGTTTTAAAGAAGAGAGAAAAACACAGAGGATAAGGTGGAGAAGATCTAGGAGAAGCTGGGAGACAGGAAAAACACGATCAAAATATATTGTATTTTTTAATTAATAAAAAAGAATTCCTTTAGCACAGCTGCTGGGCCGCAAAGGCAGAGTAAATGTTTCCTCTGGCCAACGCAGGTATGTTGGACTCAGATTCCCACAGACCATTTCCTTTCAAATGCAAATAGTTGCTTTACTAAGTTAACATAATCCTTATTTCTACAGGTTAAGTGCAATTCTCACCCCTCATCAAGAAAAATTCTCTTTGCAACAAATGGAGACAGGAACAGAAAACCACAAAGTAGATCAAAATGTGAAATTACAGCGTCTAGTCCCAGCTCACACATCTCCTCAACTCCTGCACCCAAGACTCAGTGACCACTTCAGAAGAGGAAGTGGAAAGACTACATTTTCTGTGAGAATGTGTTTCCTAGAAACAGAGGCACTCCACCCATGAAATCTAACCAACACGGTCGTCTTCACATGCTCTCAGCAAGGATGTCAATGGGAAAAAGCTTACCAGGCCTCAGCTCTAGACCAAGACAGGCAACTCAGAAATGCTGAGAGAGGATAAATGGTCTTCCCCAAGGAAGAACACACCAACTCCTTTCTCAATACGAAGCGATCAACCTTGAACAATACATACAAGTAACATATGGTTTTATTTATATATTTAGAAATGACTATATATGTATGCATATACACTCACATATGTAACAGCAATTAAAGAAGAATTTGAGAGAAAGAAAGAGGTGGTGCATAGGAGAGGTTGGAAAGTGGAAAGGGAAAGAAGTAAATGATGCAGTTATTTTATACTCTCAAAAATAAAAAAATTATAATAAAAAACACATTAAAATGAAAAATATGGTGAGTTACTTAAATGCCAACTTCTTGGCTGCCTTGGAGAATTCCGTGAACAGAAACATGATAAAAAGCCTGGGAAAACTCTCATTAAGTGTTTATCACTTGCTTTAGAAGAAATGCAAAGAAAAACTTTTTACCAAAAATACTGTTAATAAATCACTAACGAACAAGCTTTCGCTTTCTTTCCTCTTAGAAGTTTTGCTTGGTCAGCCTGTTAAAATACCCACCAGTAGGCACTGCACCAGACTTTATGGGGTTTCCTTTCCTTTTAATTAACTTTAAAATCTTATTAGCCAAATTATTAGCAATATGTTACAAGACACCGAGTCTACAGTTGTGAATGTGTCTTTATTAAGAAGACACTGCCATGAGTTAAGAAACTTCCAGCATTATTATAAAGTCCATCAAGGCTAGGGAGATAATTCCGTTTGCAAATTGGTCCCAATTCAAACTTGGCAAAGGAATGCAAATTAGGTTTGAATTAATTTGCTGCTCTCCTCCCATTCTTTTCTCAAAACATGTAATTTCTAGCGGCAATTAGCTTCCGCAGGCTTGATGCTGGTACTTAGGAAGGTGTACCAACTCGTAAAATGAGAACCAAAGTTGGGATGTTATTTCAACTTAGAAAAAGATGTGTGGAGGAAGAGAAATATGCCTTCAGATGTGTTATCCTTCCTCGGGGATTCATAAACAACTCTAAGCTTTGCACAGTTTGCAGAGCTAGAAGACTGGAGGCCCTTCTCTGTTTTACAAACCAAGGCATTTCTAAGAGGGGTAAGAATGAATTTGTTGTAGACTCAGCCCCACACAGCATTCTAAATATAGGCTCAGCTTGCCTCTGTCCACAGCTGCTTCATTCTAACGGTTTTACCAAGGGCTCAACAGCGGCTGCCTTATTGAAAATGGAACGATAGCTTCAGGAGCAGAAAATTTTGCAGGCCTTTTGCAAGGCGAGAATAAACGCCACTGGCAAGGCAAAAAGCTCTGGGGATCTATCCATTCTAATCCGGGTTCACAGAATGTCTGATCAAAAACAAAACCACGGGACTGCTGCTCTGCCTGCCTCCTTTGACAGCTCCGCCATGCTCTCCGGCCATTCTCAATGCTAGAATGCTTTAAGCCATTTGCAGAGTGCTAGAAAATACAGATTCTCTGGCGTTACCTGGGGGTTCAGCTGCAGTATGTCTCCAATTGCACACCAGCACTGAGACTTCGGGACTGTCTGAGGAAGGGGTCTTTAGATACCACTTCAACAAAGGCAGTTAGGCTGGGGAGAGAGTTCGCTGTATGTAAGCCTGAAGACTTGAATTTGATCTAATTATAAATCAAGTCGGATGTAATGAAGCTTATTCCACATCGTTTTTCTTTTTTTTTTTTCTTACACAGAATATCATGTCCTTCTGCTTGTGAAGTTGTCACCTTGGTGTGTTACTTTCTGTTCTTCTTTTCTTTAGGATGCCGGGCATGGGGTGGAATGCTTGTGTAGTAAGTACCTGTTTTGAAGAGAAATCCAAGTAGTCACAAATATTACTGTTATTCTCATTGCATCTCCAGGCTTAGGAAGCTGCATGCTAAGTCACAAACGTATGACTTAAGCTACACTATGCTCCCAAATTTTTGATTGCTTTGAACACATCTTTTAATCTCTATAATCCTTAGTGTTTTCATTTACAGAAAACAACTAATGATGATTAAAGGATTTTAGGTATAATGTTTTTTTCATACACAGTCATAGGCTTGTCATATAGTATCCAATGTGTTTGCAGAAGTAGCAACTCAACTCACTAAGATAATTTCATTGAGACAATTGGTAAGCGTTGCATGAGCATTAGGGAAGAAAAGGCAGCAACAACTCTCCACTGTGTTGATTGTCGAGGTCCAGCCTTGATGGATTCCTAGTCATACATTCCAGGGTAGGGGCCTGTGGACTAGAAATGTTACTCAGAAAAACAGAAATACAAAAGAAATACACAGAGACACAGCATAGATTCGGAAGGGCAACCCACTGAATACTGAGTCAACCGGTGTTTATCTCTCAGGAGCTTTGAATACTCGAACCCAAAGAGGACGGGAAAGACAACAGATTGCCTTACCAAGAGACACGGAACAAGTAATGTAATCACCTTCTCAAATATCTAAAGCATCAAGTAACCACACCCTAGGTCAAAACATCCTGTTGATAGTCATAACCTGGGTCAAATCTCTTGTCAAAAACCTCGAAGGAGCAAGAACAAGACTGAACTCTCTGACCTTTGGTCAAGGTGTAACGAATCCACAGTTGTGGGCTCTGACAGTTGATCTTCCCCACGGGGAAACATGTAAGTGTGCAAATAGTTTGACTGTACAACTAGAGCACTAGGAGGCTGTCACTATCATCTAGAACATAGGAACTGGGCCACTGCTTACAATGTACAGAATTGTTTCTAACTGCAAGAAATTATCCTGCCCTGATTGCCAATATTGTCAAGGCTGAAAAACTAGTTAAGGTGTGGAGACACATGCAGAACACACCACAGGAATTGACAAGTGTGGCATTCAACTGCAGTGCAGTACAGGTGTTAGATTTTTCTGGATTTGTGTGTATTCACAACCAGAATTTATAATTCAAGAAGGAATTGAATGCAGGAATGGTTATAATACTCAGGAAAACAAACAGCATTTCCTTTTAATATACATACCCCCCACACACACACACAATTTAAGGTATAGTTTCCGTGAGTGAGTGCAAACATGTATTACTTCTTCTTTCGGTCTGAGGATTCAGTAGAGGTCAAAGGTCTCTCTCTAGTGGCTGGCTGCACTGCTTCTCTGATCTCCAACAAGCCTGATAAACACAAACAAAATCTCACTACAAAGGGAGGCTTCTTTTTTCCTCAGAGACTAAGAAAACTCTTCCCCAGTGCCAGGGAAGGAAATCTCCACAGTCATCTTCAGCGACCATTTGTAACTGCCCTTCGTTGACCAGGTGGACGTTTATGGAGTAGCGGGCTTGCATCTCTACTTTCGCTCTACAGAAGCGAAAGAAGAACCCAGGGATAAGATGTGATTTCAGGAAGCTTCTTGCAAAACATGACATTAGTTCCTGGTTGATCACAGATATTTTTGACTTTAAGAACTGACTAAAATGGAGCTAAGTGTTCTTGTACATTAAGGCCTGGTTGATCTTATTTTCCATCACTACCCACTGTAACCTCACGGTCCTGGCGTGAGCCTCCTGATGGAAATAGTCATCCAGCTATGAGGTTCACTTCTTTGATTCGTCCTCTATTCTTTTCTCAAGTTCCTTCTCCCAAGACAGAGAGCTAGTACAGTCATTCTGCTGGAAACCCACAAAGATGCTTCTACCATCCCAAAGGCCTTTTGTAGCATCAAACTTACCTGGCCTTTCACCTTATCTTCACTGTGTCTCACGTGACTCAGCACACACCCTTTCCTCCAGTGTCTTAATATTTCTCACGTGGGACTCTTGCTTCTGCCTAAATGCATTATTGTCTGTGCTTGAGTGCTGTGGCGCATGCTCATTCAGTCTCATTATCTCCCAGCCTAGCCGAAGACACTGCTTCAAATTCTAGAAAGGTACATCACAGCCTTTTCTGTGGTCTTTCATTGTGCTGGGTGTGCTTCCCGGGAGACTTGTCAACTGGTGGCCAAGGCTAGCTAAGGATGCAGCTCAACACAACATCATGAAGTTACATGAATGCTTATCAGATTTTTCTTCATTTATTGTGTGGTTCTCAAGGGTGAATTGCATAGACAACCAAGTTGTGTCCCAATGTCAAAAGACCGCACACCCGTAGGACCAGGCAAGGGAGGTGGGGCAGCACCAGGGATGGAGGTTGATCTCCGACCACTAGCGCTCAGTAATGTATCTGTAACTGCAACCCACGGAGAGAAGTGGGGCTAAAAGGCATGCGGTGTCATTAGAGCTGAGATCTGACTCACAGTAGGAGACCTGTGGGCAGGCTTGGGGGAGCGGAAAGAAGCAGGGCTGTGGGAAGCAGTATGGGCAACAGCCCAGCAGCAGTGGGGAGCAGTGTGCACAGCAGCCCCAGGGCGTAACTATGTGCTTCCAGAAGTCAGAAGGAGGCCCGTGTGCCTGAAGGAGATGAGCTAGGAGGGAGAGCAGTGTGAAGACACAAACCCGCAAAGCCTGGTGGGCCCCAGAGACTCACATCTCTATCTTAGGAGCAGTCCGGAGGCATCGAAGAGTTTCATCACTGGGGAGCAAGAAGGTTCTATTTGCGTTTCATAAAAATTTGAGCTTCTGTGTTGAAACTAAATTAGAACAAGGCCAGAGGGGATAAGGGGGGCTCTGAAGAGATGATTACGTATGAGAGAGACTGAGCCAGGGAGAAGCAGAGCAGATGGGGAAATAGGAACAGGTGCCAACTGAAATTGTTTCCAGGACTTTAAGACCTAAGAAGACCGAGCATTCCCATGGTCGGGTGTTTGAAAAAATAGTGTCATCACAAATTTGTGATTACTCTATGGAATTTATGATAAAATTAAGTAGTTCAAATGAGACTATGCAAGAAAAAGCAAAGGGCTGAAATACATCTGCTCAGGGCTTTCAGCAAAGTTCATAAACCCAAAAAATAAACGTCACAAAGTTTTACAATCAGACTACTGTCTTATAGTGGCCTTTTCCATATGCATTACACAGAACACACAATCCATCCCTACCCCCACTGATTTACACACACACAAACACACACACACACTCACACTCACACACACACACACCCCACAGAGTGCCATCTTGCTTCTGTCTATTGTCAATTTGTGTTTCTTCACCAACTGTCCCTAGTAGGCACAACTGTAGAACACAAAGTGTCAAGCTTGGTGACCAAGTTCACAATTTGGCCATGTTAGTTGCCCATATTTATGTTGCCGTCATGATCAACTACTTCTCGACCATTTTCACCACCCCAAAGAGAAACACTAAGGCCATTAGTACTCACTGCTTACGTATTTCCTACTCCTTCTGATGTAGACAACCTTTTAATCTATGTACAAACTATGAATTGACTGATTTGGGAAATATAAATAGAGCTAGACAATATTTGGCCCCATGTTTTACTGATCCTTTGTCATCACATCTTCAAGGTTCATTCACGGTAAAATATGTACCAGGTTTCCACCCCTTTT